GTTGTTGCAGTATGGATGAAGACAAAAGATCGGGTTGGTTAAGTGAGCAAACGACAAAGCCAAAATCTGTTATATCCTAAGTGAGTGGTGGGAATGCGGAAAACCGGGCATTGCTGCTCGGTGCGCTGGATATTGAACTGCAGATCACTTATCGATTTTCCACTCCTCCATGGATGTCGATCGCCCCCACTGATAGGGTGTGTTTATTGACGCAGAACGACCGACAACGATAGTGTTGCATTGCTCCCAGCGCCAAAGAAGAACCTACATGAAATCAAATATGCGTGTACTATTCCCACATATGGTGTTTTCGGAGAGAAATTCATACTCCCATACCACATCATATGTGTCCCCTTTTGATGCACCTCGACGAGCTGAATCCGATGGTTCCATTAGAAATGCTTGGTTGTGCCTGCACCCCGAGATACGATCGTATTTTTGTTCGAAATTTCCCATAGGTGTCACCCCATCATATCACTATAACTTTTATTTCGCACTACATATTGAAGACTGATACATGTGACGCGTTTTGGGACACTATCACACCTTAACAGTTGGGGCGATCGACATCCATGGAGGAGTGGGAAATCGATAAGTGATCTGCAGTTCAATATCCAGCGCACCGAGCAGCAATGCTCGATTTTCCGCATCCCCACCACCCTCTTGGGCTAGAACAGCTTCCGACTTTTTCGTTTGCTCACTGAGCACCAACACTTATCTTTTGTCTTCATCATTCTGCCAACAACTATACTCCATCCTCATATAAAGCGAATCTCCCAGGAAGCGTTTTGAAAGCGATGCTGCTCCGAACCACGCTTTTCACCTACTCCGTACCTACAATGTTTGGCTTTTGTTTTCGTCATTTTTTGTTTTTTGTTCAACTATTTGAAGTCTTTTTCACGAATTTCCTGCTCATTTGTTAGTTTCTCTATTTTTGTGATTCCAGCTTATTCCTTCCGGTGTTCAGCATTTCCCCCCAGAATTGATGACATTCTTCGTCCTGGTGGGGCTGAGCTTCACCCGGCTTTTGTCCAAAGGACAAACGCGCAGCATCTCCCCCAAAATGTGCAGTGCCCCAGCTTCACCCGGTGCTTGTCCGGTGCTTCGAGACGCCTTCGGCGTCCCTCGGGACCACTCGGCCCGGCCGCTGGCCGGCGGGTGCTCGGCACCACCGGACCACTCGGATGTGGGTGCACTGGGCGACGGTGCCAACCCACCCACCCACCAAAGGCCTCCTCAAGCCTCTTTTACCTAGTGTATCGTATGTTTTACTGTTCTCCTTGTAAATTTCTTTCGACTGGAGGGTACAAAGAAACGTAGGCTGGGACGTGAGAGGAGTGAAGAATATTGAGCGGTGCCGCTCGATGGGCTGATCATTGAGCAGATCAGATCAATCGACGGTGGGCTGCCGTACCCTGACTACTAGACATTGGAAATTGATGGAAAAAAACGTCGATAAAGAACAGGTTTGGTTAGAAAAGCTTATCGGCTGAGCTTGAAGTGAAAGATCGACAGCGAGGGTCGTGTGAATGGCAAATATAACCAGCGAGGGTTCGTGCAGTCTCTTGGTCTGGACTCGTGCCAATTATTGAATGGTTGGAATGGTGCGCCCAGTAGAGGACCGAAAATTGGCATTTCAAGAGAACGAGATTCCAGCCTTTTGTATGGACCGATTTTAGCTCCTATTTACTAATGCTTCGATCTCTCAAGCTTGGATTTCCTATCGACTCCAGCTTTTTTCCATTTTTTTCCAAAATTTACTGAAAGGTTCAGCTCCTGTTTGGGATTTTTCCGCTGCTCCTTACACTTTTCTCCAATTTCTAGTCCTTTTCCCGAAATCAGTTTCCCCATCTATTTCCACCTTTTTGATAACTTTCCTCATCTGAAGCTTTCCCACCAATGCCATCCCTTCGCTGAAATGCGTATGTCCCAGCAGTTTGTAGATCTCCCATCAACTGTTCATGTGGGTAACATCGGCAAACGTTTTCGCTCTTTTGCAAACGAACATGCCGATATTCCATGTCAGTTTGCATCGTATTTGGCCCTGTTCATCCGAGGGAAGTCACTCACCCATTGAGGGAGCACAGAGAAGAAAATTGCGTCGGGTTCGTCTGCAGCGGGTGGGGTCCTCAATCGAGCCCGTACCGACGCTGAAGGCGAGCTTCGATTATCTGAACGTACCAAATTTTGCAATTAGGGATTTTTTCAGTCTTAGTAGTTACTGAATATTTCCGAAAAATCTTCCGGGTATTGGCCAGACCCTTCTGGGATTGCGGTGCAATAGCTGATGCTGGTAAAGTGGAGTTAATACGCACAACATGCGAAGTGTTAGTTGTCAAAGAAAGTGAGCTCGCCGTAGTTCTGCACTCGCATTGGATGCATTCGAGCGGCTTGTCTATCGAATTCGGTCGATTTGTTATCTAACAGTGGGTTAGAGGAACCATAGGGATCAGAGAAGAGGTATCGAAAGAAGCTGTTCATTGGGCCATCCCTAAAAGAAGTGGATGGGAAATGAACATTTGGTATAAATATATGGAAATATATGGAGAAATATATGGGAAGAGTGTCACTCTCACAGCGCTTGCCACATGTAAGGTACATCGAACAACTTAAAACTTCCAATGATGTAGATCTAATGGCGCAAAGTGATGTCTGGCCGTTGGTGGTCGTGCGTCTCAGGTTCGCGGACCGCCGTGCACATTCTTCTGCTAAAGCCGTAGTTTTTGTTTGCTTGATAAAATGATGCTCATTCGGCCCAAATATAATACATCATAAATCTAGCTTGTTCAACAGACTGACTGACAACTTTTTAGTACTACGTCGACCAACCTTCATCGACCAAAAACGATCGAGGACAAAAATCAATCGGCTTACGGCGATCCACCGGCTCGAAGCCGGACCCGATAGTGCTTCGGACACCACCGGAAAAACTAAAGTCTTGAAACTACCCGATTCCGGTAATACCAGACTACACTTGGGTATGTGTCATAAATCGCGCACTGACCCGCGATCACAGCTTCATTCCACTGATCCATAAGTTCATGCAGGTCCAGTCTTCGCCAAGTGGACATGCCGGACCACAGCGCAAAAAGCGAATCAGCACAAGGCCCACTCGTGCGTGAAACGTATTCCGAGCTGGTTTGACGCAGAGAATCACTAAGGAAGACGGGGCAGACTGAAAGATGATAAAAGTGATTGGCAAAAACTAGTGTTAAATCCAGTGTAAAGAACATTTATGGGGCCTCGGATCGAATGCACTTTGACCTGGATACCGTGTTTTCGCTGATACTGGATCAATGGTTTTCCCGCACGGGCAGATTGGTACGGTAGGAGTACAAAAATGAGAAAACGAACTCTTTATTTCAATTGAGTACCCGACATGTACACGAAAACTGCTTTGATGAGACTAAATCATGTCGAACAACAATAAATAGTTACACATAAATCGACTAGTCCTTTTCTGAGTAGCCCAGCCTACTGAAAAAAAAGAGAATTCGGCACTGTATAAGATGCCAGAATTCTATGCGGAAAAATTAAACAACGTGGGAATCTATACAAAGGCAATTGGACATGTAGAAAGTGTGGATAGATGAATCCTTGTTGGTCGACACTTGATTCAAACGTCAACAGGATGCTGCGTGGGTAAGCCACCATTCTTGCAGACAGCTTTAGCAATGGAGGCGATTAATTTCACGTCGTATTCGTTACCGTGGGCTGCTTCCTTGAGGTTGTTCATAGTACGTCGTGACGCCTAAACACATGACTCATAAGCACTAAGCAAGAAAAGGACAAAAACCACAAAGGACGCAAAACTTTCATAAGGCTCAGCCTCATAGCAATGATGGGCTCGCCATGTAAAAACTAGCAATTTGCAATCGCCTCTCGGCGATCCGCAGGCTCGAAACCGGCCGCGGACGGTGGTAACTTCGGATAGCACCTAAAAATTTATCGGACCCTGGCATAACCGACTTGATGGTTAGCCTGACAGCCATCTACACGTGTACACTAAATTTGCAGTAGTGGCTTGCACAGTGGTTGGATTCCACGATGCACCGAGCACATTCGTTTCCCTCAGGTATCGTATAAGTGATTGCAAGGGTTTCTAGTTATTACACGTGTGCAAAAGAATAATTCAACTCTTGCATTCGTTAGAGTTAGTAACTAGTTTGGTAGGGGTAGCAAACTAATATTCTAGAATTTCAAATTTGCGACTTCTAGTGGTGAACTGGATTTGACCTTCCCGAAGACTAGTGGAATGATTCAATTTTTGTATCGGCAATTTTAGTTAATCATCCTCTTGACTTTCCCTTCGAGCACGAGAAATACTGAGTGCACTTTTTATCGAATTCCGGAAAACGACACAACGGCAGTAAAAAGGATGAACGGACTCAAAAACCAGCTGCTATTAAATATTAAGTAAACCGCTAAGCAAGGCAAAAGAGGCAACGGAACAACCAAAAATAACCAAAACAGTTGAATCGGTATATGGACAGGGAAAGAATCTTGCTGGCTCCATCCACCTGGCATCGAATTTTTGAAACAAGCATGTAGTAATTCATTTCAAGTGGGATATTCCAAGAAGGAGAACAATCATCACAGAAGGATCGCTGAGCAAATAATGGACCGGACATCATTGAAGCCCAGCACCTGAACCTGAAAACACAGTTCGCGACAAAAATGGTTACCGAGATTTCTTTCTAGGATAAAACTATGACCTCCAAGGACAACAATATGGAAGATAACGGGTTGAAATACGGCTTAGACAAGACGCAATAAGGACCTCAAAGCCGGTTTCGCCGACGTTAGCCATACCCAAAGACGGACGAGTCCCCACTGCGTTTTAGGGGCTGTCGAGGGGGTGTATGTCGTTTGGCGCGATGGGCGGGGTCGCCCCGCCTATTTGAG